CAAAACCAGAATAACACTTATACCCTAAAAAGTACTTTTAAAAATTAATTCAGACACTTTCAAGTCAGCGTTTATCTTACAGTCAGCCAACCGACACAAAGCAGATTTAATTATTATTCTGATAACACGTGTATCCGTATATTGTACATATCAGTAAATTAGAGTCCTCTTAGGAATTCACAGACAACTACAGAAAGTCATGCTGTTAAATGATGCATGAGGCGCAGAATCCCGCCGTGCAAACGCCGTGCAGGACGCGCAGTGTAAAAGAGCGCACATCAGCAAAATGCATTTTAATAACAACCATAATGAGCTTCTTACCTTCGTCGTGCATCCTCTGCAGACACAAAGTCAAGTTTCTCCTCCAGCCGGGCATGGCAAATGGGTATTAAACAGTACTGATGAGGCTGTTACCGTTATCAACGCAGAGAACAAAACGGTGCCCGGGAAAACACCGATACTTTAGGTTAATGGCTGAAGAAGAAATAATAAATAATAATAATAATTCCCTCTGCTGCAGTTATATACCCAAGTAAGTGGGAGAAATATTATAGCAAGTGATCATATACGGCAGGTAAATATCTGCGCATTGATTGGTCCATTTGGGGGGATAGTCGGCGATTCCTGGCCGCAGCTGGACACAACCAAAGCAGCGGCGGACGGCCAGGGACACCGGCGCATCGGACAAAACGGGAATGATGCTCTCACTTCACTTTTCTGAGGACTAGAGAACCTGGGACGGCAGACTGGGCGGAAAGACTTACTCATTCGGGACTACACATACAATATATAATCCTAATAATTTCTGACATTATAATATCCAGGATCGTTTATCAGACTGAATCAAGCGGCTGCTTAATATCTCTTCGAACTATGCTTCTACTCCGCGATTAACTGAGTAATACATTGTAGGCTTTCAAATATGTGTGTTCTATATAGCGTTAAAGTTTCAGAGTTTAACCGCTTCAGACACCTTAAAGCAGCGTTTCTCAACACACTGGCCGGTGTTCACCCTAGACGGTCCACGTTTTTGCTCCCTCCCAGCCTCCGACAGGAAGCAAGAATGTGGGCTGTTTGACAGTGAGCTTGGAGGGAGCAAAAACGTGGACCGTCTGGGAGGGTCCCCGAGGACCGGGTTGAGAAACACCGCCTTAAACAATTTGATATGCCTGTTATGTGACTGTAATGCGGTCTGCCACTTTCGTGACAAATTCCCAAGTCAGTGACACCGGATGTTTTCAATTAGGCTGCAAATAATAAGGACGTGTTTGCAGCTGCAGAAAAAGGACAGAGATGCGAGATATCACTCAATATCAACAAGCAATGCTGGAATTCGCGTTAAACACATATTGGACAGGCTAAATTGTAGGGGATTCGGCGATTCATTGAGTTCAGCACTAGATTTAGTATTACTGTTGCATAGGTTTGGTATTGTACAGAGGTTTCTTGCTGACATTATTCATTTAGTCATACAACAGTACGAATTGTCACAAGCGGAACGTTAAAGTGAAGCCTTACTTAATTACTTTCTGCTTAAAAATAAGACCCCAGTGGGCAGTAACAGACACCCCCCTATACCCGAAAGAAAGACTTCTGTATTTAAATTGTTGTGCCCCATCAACATCAAACATACGCCGCTGCCAGTAACTTTTTAGTTGCTAATCACTTAATGTATCCATGGCGGTTACATCTAAGGAAAATGCTTTGTATGCGCAGAGTGGAGCGTCCATGCAGCCCTGCTCTCTGCCCAATATCACGCTGACGGCTCTGTAATCGCTTATAATGTATAAAGGTCTATGCAGTTACTGATTGAACTATTTATTGCCTTCTACAAATTGACGTGTCAGTCACTTTGGCTTACCTGCACTGTAATTTAATACCAGAATCAATTTAAAAGCAGAACAAGACAGGTTAAAAATACGTTCGCAAGATATTTAACATTTGAAGAACATTTTTAAATATTTTGTTTATACGGCTTAAGACCGTCTTTAATTTATGTAAAAGAATAGAAATTTTGTTCTAAATATTACTAGCTATTTAAAAAAATAGTTCTCAATAGTAAACCAAAAGTGTTTTTCGCTGAAGGAACATTTTAGGAAAGTAGTCAAAACCAGTATCATAATTCATTTATCAAGCATATCATCCTACAGTTTAATCAGTTCATACATCTGGGTGTTTTACTGGAGAACCTGAGGTTAAGTTCCTCATTTGATGGTATAAGAAGATGGCTTTGGCAGTGGTATGAACTGGAAATCACATCTGTCCTTAAACTGTGTTGTCTGCTGCCATATGACAGGGTGTCTGGGTTTTATTAGATTCATCCGGTGATTTCTCAGATGCACATTGTCAACAGGACCTACTAGGAATGCTGAGACCATTCAAAACTAGACAAGATATACAAAACAGAACACAATCACACCCAGAGATTCATCATTAATCTCAGGCGCCAACACAAAACTAAAAGACACGGTGAATATTTCTTTCTCCATAGAATACACATTACACACTTACTAACGAAGCTTCTTAGACTCAGGAAGCACATACTACATACTACATATAAACTATCAGGGTATTTTCCTAAACCCCTCCAAACCTGCTATAATCAATCACCCACCTAATTTGGACAAAGCGAAAACATCATGACTTGACAGTATAATAAATGACTCCTCTCATATGATTCTGACCGTGTCTCCATTGTCCAGAATTACTGGATTATTGTCACTTTTGACAGCACAATATTCCACACTCTCTTGACCAAAAATCGTTTTGTCTCAGTGGATGGCTGATTTTCTTCTTTAGATACTTCTGTGAGACCATAGTTCCCCAAGGCTGCGTGGAGGGTCCACTACATTTCTCTCCATGTGTCACCTCCTGGAGGTGTTGTTTGTAAACATGATGTTATACAAATAAAACCCAACTCATTTCTTTCAAACCAAATGGAATAGCTTGTAAAAAAAAATTGTACATGCTTTTTATGATGGATACAGGTTATATAAGCTTGGGTGACAGAACATCCTCCTGCTAAACTGCTATGACAGATATTTTGTCAAAATTTACGTTGAATCGGATGATTTTGATTTCATTGCAGGAGCCACAATAAAAAACCCGGGCACTACAGTCAAGAGGAACCTCACGATTAACTCTTACATTAGGAATTCATCTGTAGCAAGGGTTTTATTTTATTACAATACTTGATGTTTGAAAAAGTGCAAATGACATGTTCCAAGAATCTAAGTGCATTGGCTTCCTCAAAGGAATCAGGGTATGAATTTCAGGTTTCTCCATTTTTCCATTTCAATTACAAAAATTAACTGCAAAAAAAGTCTGATTAATCTCCCTTTTATTATCAGCAATAACCTATTTAAGTACATGGGGCAAATTGTAAAGATAAAATAAACTAGTTTTGTTGGAGCTTTGCATGCGTACAAATGTTTCCCCATTTAGGATGTTAATAGCGTATGACTCAAGAGACCCTCTTTAAAAAGTAGGTCACCTTATCATACACTGAACAATCACACTGAGCAGGGCATCTTTCAGATGTGACCATTGTATCCAGATCCCCATTTAAGATGTATTCTGCTCAAGATTAAGATCTCAGAGACAAAGTATGGGGAGAAGGATGAACAAGGACCTAATGAGACATTCTGACTTACAGAGCATTAATAATAGACCCAACAAAACTCATTATGCATGCGAGATGAACTGGGGAATGAGAGTGAAGTGTCAGGCATGGTCAGAAGGCTGCAGCTCTCCTAAAAACCTGGACTGTGACATATGAAAACAGCATGAAGATGAATATTTACAGATATCCAGACAGGAAGCTGCAGCCTCCAGCGCAACAGGCATCAAGCAACAAACCAAAACGCGACTTGGACTCAGAGATTCCGGGAATTTAAAGAGGCTTAACAGGATATTTGCTGAATGGTCTCCCTGCTTGGGTAACCGCCTGAGCAAGTCAATGTTATTAATTATATCCAGAATCTCACCTGTAATCAAGCTTATGTGGCAACCTGTTTGCTTGACTTCCTGTATGTCAAGGAAAGACAATAAAATTACTTTAACTTTGCGTTTCTTAAAAACAGAAGCTAAATGTTCATTCAATGAGCACTTTGCCACAGCAAGCCCAAAACAGCAGAGGAAGATTTAATCCAGCAATTAGTCAAGCCTTAAAAATAAATGTAATTAAAAACTAATAGCAGAAATGTTACTTTCCACTGTGATGTGGCACACCCCCCCCCCCCCGTGTGTACCCCGCCTAATGTGCTGTACTTCCAGGGAAAGGAAATTCACCATAAAATGACAATTAACTGGAACACCGCTTGAAAAATGACATTGATATTAATATAAATGTACGGTCATGCTTGTCTGGCGAAACGTTTAATTTCCAGTGAAAAATAGATTCAGATGTTATACTAGTACCTTAATTTCACAGTATATACTGCAATCATCATTTTCCTGGGTCTAAAGTTAAACTTGAAAGCTACCCTCTATTAATACGAATCCAAGTAATCTTTCCAGATGTATGCAGTTCTTTTTTTTGAAGGAAGATTAATTGGACATTTGATGCTTTTACCAGCTGACATAACACCTAAAGGTTTGTAGTCTCTTTTCAACCCAAAGCCAGATTTCCTCTTAGAAATTTTTCATCTAGCTACTATTTAATGAGCTTTGGGCGACCCCTAGTGGTGAATGTCAACAGCATACAAGAAAAATGCGCCACACAGTCATTTTTTCAATTACTCCATTCGAAAAGGGGTGGGTTCAGATATGCAATGTCCATCAGAAACTATAGCAAGCCACCGAGTATAAAATCATCTCTGGCCCTTTCAGTAGATGACCAACAACATTGCTCAGGCACATATATTAATTACATTTACCATCCACTGTTCAAATGTTCCCACAATACCATCTGCAGACATTTCCTGTTCCACACTGAAATATGAAGCATGTATTTCAATATTCATAAACCGAGCAATTAAATCATACAATCATAAAAAGTCTTACAACAGGACAATCAACATACTTTATTTAAATCTTTTTTAGGGGTTGGGGGGAGGCAAAAAACAATGACTGGGACAAACCTGTGTTATTTTTGCCCCCACAAAGACATCTGATGGGTCATTTAAGAAAGACTGAGGAACAGACCAGCACCTTGAATCAGACTCCCCAAGTTCAAAATGCATGTAGGGAACGCAATAAAAAAACGAAAGTCTCTGAGCGAGGGTGAGTCACACCCGCGGACAGGCGCAGCCGGGACCCTCCCCCCCGGCACTCCGCCTCCCGGCCTCACTGCTCATTCTGCTGGCCCTCTGTGATGCCGGACACGGCCCCCTGGCCCTTGCTGACGTCGCTGATGCAGGTCCACTGGCCATCAACGGACTCCTTCCACAGCGTCACCTGGAGGGCAGGGTGTCAAAAAGCAGACGCACTGATCTACACATCCAAATCACAGCAAAGCTAAATCGTAAAGCGTTCACACACTATTCCAATACTTGAACATATGGCTTACATCCATGCGTCTATGAAATCGTTGCAGTGTTCTTGAAAGTGATAAACGTCCAATGCAGCCAGAAACTGAGGGCCATAAAAAGCCCCCCCCACTCACACACAAGTTCTAACTGGAAAAGGGCACCAGTACCAGTACCAGTCACTTCCTCCTCTCTATTGAGTCTCACTGAATGCTTTTGTCTGATCAATGAGCATGGATGCCACAGCCTCAGCTACGACACACTAAGAATTATTCTGCGAGAAGGTCAGCTGTCATCGATTTGAAAGCTTGAGTAAAACAGTCAGTTATTTCAGGCAGTTAATTTCCATCAATTCTCAGAAAGTATTTCTAAAATGATAAACACAAGCAATCATATTTCTATCAGTGCAGTTCCTGGTTTTAATATTAGTCGTATACATCAAGATCATATAGACAAGCAGCATGTAGCTAAAACACTGAATATGCTTCTGCATTTTCACTGCTGTAGAAATCATTACACCCTCATAAAGCTGTTGGTACTTAAATGTGCTCCAATCTTGCTTCTCTAGCTTGCTGACATGTTAAATTAAGAACGAATGTTGCATCTATGTATCTAGATACACTGTAGCTGAAAACAAAAGCAACAATTGACAGTCTCATATATTGGGCTGACATTTCACCTACATCTCAATCAGCTCATATATGCAAACTGAACTCCTTATGAACCCCCAACTATGCACAGTTTATACCTAAATATATGATATAAGCTGTGCCTTTCATAGTCTGTTGCTTTTAATCTCAATTTAAAAACAAAGAGAAACAAATCACATTTATTGTAGGTTTGTGTCCCACCAGAAAATCCACTAAGGATGACCTCAGTGTCCTACTGTCACAATAAAGTTACAGCACAACACTGGTGCCATTCCATTTTAACAGATCTGACCACTAAATCTGAATCTTAACAGTTACATATCTAGTTAGCTAGTGCTGTAATAGGCCAACAAAGACTCAAGAGCTATAACAACTACACAGCATTTGCTTAGCTGCAGTAACTCACCATTGCATTCAGAGTGACTGGTAAGGCTATACTCCTCACTGTTTTTATTATTATTAATGGAAGACAGAATGCATGCAGAATACATTCATTTCTGACTGCGGTAAGTGAAGATGCTGTCGCTGTCATGTGTAAAGGCTTCCTTAGCTCCTGGCCTTTGGTTCATAGGGTTGCTACGACGCTGGAGCAGATGCACCAGGCCTTAGAGAGCAAAGAGGATACCCATCGGGTGACAAAGGGGACACCCATCGGGCGACAAAGGGGACACCCATCGGGCGACAAAGGGGACACCCATCGGGCGACAAAGGGGACACCCATCCGGCGACCCAAACCTTCACCTACAGTTTCATGGTAAATCGCAGTAAAATGGTTAGTGTTATAGTTTCAAAATTTAATAATCATTAAACCCGTGGTTGATTACTACACTCATGTTAAATACTGTCCAGCATCAACCACAATCAGTAAGCTCCCCAGATGCAGGTGCAGAAGCGCAGCGTGGGCTTGTTTAGTGAAAAAGTGGTGGAATGCGGCAACAGGACGGCTCTCCGGAGATTTTTTACGTTAATGCACCTTGATGTGGTTATCATGTTTCACATAAGGTATCGGCCATGTTGTTATTTTAATGTCTATACAACCAAAAAGTGCCTAGTGCTGCAAATATTATTTGGGGTTTTAATATAAAACTTGGTGAAATTAAATGAGGCAGGAATCAGAATGTCCTCAGATGTGGCCAAACATCAGAATAGCCCTTTTTTTTTCTTTTTAGTGTGCAGTTGAGGTTCAGCACCCACATATGGACCTCCTGAGGGGGGGAGGTGTTGGCTCAGGTCATCAGTGCCTACATACCAGTGCCCTTATGTCTATGGGGGGGGCTAGAGGACCCTTCTCATGCACCACTGCCAAAACTGCAACGTGTCCTTCTGAAATTCCAGGATTCAACAGTCATCAGAGGTCTATAAATAACATGCGTTCATATTCACGGAGCAGAGGAGTGTTGTTGGAGCAGCTCACGGGGGTGTGCGAACGTGCCATCACCAAAATAAATAAATCAAAGCAGTTGCAGGTTGGGGGGGGGGAAAGAGAGAAAAATTACGGTGGCCCCTAGAGACAAAACACACACAAAAGAAAAAGCAGAAACAAAATGAAAATGCGCAGCAAATTAAAAAA